CTTTGAGGTCTAAATTCCAGTTTAGTTTTATACCCCTCTTCTTTTGAAGTCGTTTCATACCTTTTTTTTATCTTCGAAAATTACTAAAGGAATTTTTAGATAACCTGAACTCTACACATTTAGGGTGTATTTTATTATACTCGCATATATATATATATATATATATATATATATATGTGTCATTCGCAGATAGTACTGTTTTGCTGTATCACAGCTCATCAGTGCGACTAGACATCCGAATGCCTCAAGCCAGGATTGAAACCCAACCGATTTGATGTCAGTCAGAGTTTCTACCAATGAACTATCTTCATTCGACAGAACGGAACAGGTAAATCTAGTGTATTTTTACGAATGTAAACAAAAGCCAATCAGCCATAGTGCTCGATTCATTTTACTGAAGAGCTTTGCATTAACGTAGTTGGTTGTTGTTTATAGAATCAGCTTGTCATTCAACAGTGCCCAATTGAAATATATTTTTGAAGAGCTAAATACACACACATATACGCACACGCACGCACACACACAAACACACACACACACACACACACACATACATATATATATATATATATATATATATATGGGGGTGTTGAAAGCATTAAAATTCTGTGTAAATCAAATCATCGAAAACATCTCGCTATACGAAAGGCCCTGTATATTAAATATCTCTACCCTACTGTCAACTTCACTTTGTTTAACAATGGGAGTGGCGGAATGAAAGTTTAAAAAAAACCTAGTCATTCGCTCGAATTCCAGCCGCGGTCAACACGCAAAGCCTCGGAATAAACGCTCGTATTCAAAACAGCCAAAACATAAAAGAGAAACTAACAACACCAAAAAACAAAACCCCTTAAAAATAGCTAAAAAGAAGTGACCGAAAGCGCTTGGAACAATTGACGGTATAGACAGTTATATATATATATATATATATATATATATATATATATATGAATTGCATAAAAATGAAACTATATTACCCCATTCAAATGGCCATTTCACCCCCAGGATATTCTCCTTGGTGCTTGTCAATGCAATATAGTTTAATTTTTCTGTAATTCCTTTATATTCTCTATAATAAATATATTGCGCACTCTTTTGTGTATTAGTTTTAATATTTTATTTATTAGTATCTACTTGGATTACTTACGCAGAGATTTTTACCTGTATAGGACCGAATTTGTAAACAGTCACTATCACTGCTGATAATGCAAGAGTCTCCTTGAGTGACTGGTGTGTTTATAAATACGCAAAAATTCGCCTTTCTCTCTGGCGGGCGTCGATGGCCTAGGGGTTAAAATCTCCAACTGATACCAATTTCGGTCTAGCGACACTGATAAGCTGTGCTACAACGAAAATAGTCTGTCTGTGGATGACTATATATATATATATATATATATATATATATATATATATATATATATATATATATATAGATAGATAGATAGATAGATATGTATAATTTGTGTATTTATGCAGCGATCTCTCTTTTATACTGGTTTCAGTGAAGGCGAGTGACAAGGCAATGCGATTAAGCGTTTTATTAAATTTTTCTTTAATTTATATTAGTGACTAGCAGTAGAGCCCAGAGTTGCCCGGGGATGTAACAGTAAGAGATAGATCAAATATCGACCATCATAAAGACTGAAAAATAAAATTTACAAAGATTATTGTTTGAGGTTGACGGACACGTATGTCTTAATTAGTTTTTTTTTTTTTTTTTTACGAATTAGTCAAACCCAAACTCAAACAAAAACATTGTTTTCAATCGTTATGAGTCTACCGATTGAATAGAATTTTATTATAAACAATTGTCTTGTAAATGGAATTTTTAAAGCATTCTGAATGTAAAAATAAAGAAAAAAGTGTGCAAGACAATAAGAAACACTACCTGCCAAAAAAAAGTGAAGTTTTGTTGAAATCGGTTGAAAAATGTAGGAAATCCAATCCCATATATAAACGAACACACACACACACTCACACACACACACACAAACAAACAACCTGGGTTTTATAATATGTATAACTCGATATGAGTTGTCCCCATTTCATTCTGGCGACAGAATCGTGTTTTATCGTGTTTTCAAATTGATTTCGTGCAAAAACAATTGTGTTTTTCCAATTTTTGGCGCTGTCAGAACCACCACAAGGTAATTTTACGTAGTCCTGTGAAGTTTTGTTGAAATCGGTTGAAAAATGTAGGAAATCCGGTCCAATATATAAACGTACACACACAGACACACACACACACACACACACACACACGCACACGCACGCACACGCACACGCACACACACACACAATCTGCGTTTTATAATAAATAAGATTATTTTCTGAACATAGAGTGTGCAAGAAGTGTACAAATTATCAGTGGACACGAGAGATTTCGTTCCATCTTTTAGCCATTATCGAGAATGATTTTTGCTAACTGAATATGTAGATATTTTTATGTATATATTGAGATGGGAATATTTTTAATTTTCCGATGACGGCCATGGCGATGTGGCCGTGTTCATAATTGATCATATTGAGGGTTTGCTTCTTTTTTTTTTTATATTTACAGCTTCCATTATTTTTAAAAATCTTTTTGCATGTATATGAGGCTGCTATAGTCGGATTTTTCATGTATGTGTTATGAACAAAGGTTGGTAATAAGAAAACATATCCTCGGATTGAGGAATCGGAGAGCCGAGTTCGAATTCCAGTCGAATCCATTACATTCACTTACGTGCTAATCGAAAGATACATGATCGCCTAAGAGTATATCACGCATGGCACATAACTGATTGATATTTACTTGCGTGCCTGGGGAAAAGTATGAATCCTCTTCTTCTCCCCTCAGCTATGGATAAATGGCAGGACAAACCGGGTTCTATAGCCTTGGATGACAACTGATCTAAATGGCAACCTACTGCGGGAAAAAAAATCTGCCTCGTCAGTCATGTATCGAAAGATACATGATCGCCTAAAAGTGTATCACGCATGGCACATAACTGACTGATAAGGGCTAATAGATTAGGCGGAAGGTTCACAGATCATTTGGACAGGTCTTACACACTATAATAAAAAAGCCTAATTGCAGTGCCGCGCCAGTCATCTTCAATGAAATCTGTGTGTGTGTGTGTGTGTGTGTGTGTGTGTGTGTGTGTGGAGGGTGCGATGGGTAAATTGTCGCCATTATATATCTTTAATTTCGCGCATGCGCGTCATTTGTCTTTGAATTTGTTGACTGCACAGTATACTAGGGTCAGCTGGGCACCGTCTGTGAGAGAGAAAAAAGAGCACTATGACGCAATTTACTCCGCCAGAAATTTGATAACAGCATGCTCTGCTCCTTGGCATTCGCGCTGGAAGCTGCAATTCGAACATTCCAGAGTGTTTGGGTTTCAATCTGAGGCCAGTGCAGAGGATTCGGAAAGACTTGGATGAGTCTAATGGTGATTACGATGGTACGGCAGCTCTGAAAACTCACTCTGATCGTTCTGATAAGAAAAGAAATCCCTAATTTATTGGTGAGAGCCTCAGACTCTACACAAAGCCTTATATCAAGCGCCTCGCGTAGATAGTGCTATTCTTGGTCAAGTGTGTGGCTGCTGGAAGGCCCTATGTCTGGCAACAGGACTCTGCACCATGCCGAACAAGCAGGAGAACCCAGTCATTGCTGTCAGATAATTTATGCGAACACATCACACTTTACATCTGATCACCTAACTCCCCAGACTCCAACCCCCTTGATTATTATGTGTGGGGTGCAGTTGAGCGAGATGAACTGAAGGCAAGGGTTATGGCAGCCTTTACCAAAAAAAGAGACCATCCAGAAGAGTTTCAGGAGATTCCGAAGTCGTCTAGAGGTCGATTTTATTGAATAAATTTACTCTTTAGTATTTCAAGATATTTTTGTGTAATTTTGGTACTGTATTAAAATGAAGTGTCAGTGTTATTTTTCTCTTTTAGACGCCAATTTATCCATCGCACCCTGTAGATAGATAGATAGATAGATAGATAGATAGATAGATAGATAGATAGATAGATAGATAGATAGATAGATAGATAGATAGGAACGGAGATAGATAGTAACAGAGAGAGAGAGAGAGAGAGAGAGAGAGATTGATAGATAGATAGATAGATAGAAACAGAGATAGATAGATAGATAGATAGATAGATAGATAGATAGATAGGAACGGAGATAGATAGTAACAGAGAGAGAGAGAGAGAGAGAGAGAGAGAGAGAGAGAGAGAGAGAGAAGAGAGATAGATAGATAGATAGATAGATAAGAACGGAGATAGATAGTAACAGAGAGAGAGAGAGAGAGAGAGAGAGAGAGAGAGAGATAGATAGATAGATAGATAGATAGATAGATAGATAGGAACGGAGATAGATAGATAGATAGATAGATAGATAGATAGATAGATAGATAGTAACAGATAGAGAGAGAGAGATCGATCGATCGATAGATAGATAGATAGATAGATAGATAGGAACGGAGATAGATAGATAGATAGATAGATAGATAGATAGATAGATAGATAGATAGGAACGGAGATAGATAGATAGATAGATAGATAGGAACGGAGATAGATAGATAGATAGATAGAGAGATAGATAGATAGATAGATAGATAGATAGATAGGAACGGAGATAGATAGGAACAGAGAGAGAGAGATAGATAGATAGATAGATAGATAGATAGATAGATAGATAGACAGATAGATAAATTAAGGATTATCATTGATATAGGTATTTCTAGTTCTGATTATATCCATAATAGTTTTGTATGTTGTTATTGTTAAGATTTGATAATTTTTGTTGTTGGATAGTAAATGTTAAGGAATTAATAGATAGTGTTATATGTCTGTTTTTTAGCGAATCAGTAGTAGTACACACGCACGCACGCACGCACACGCGCACACAGACACATATAATTCCTTTTTTTTATCAATTCCTTTTTAGATCGAAAATATATATAAAAACGTTATTTTAATTGGTGTCCGTGGTGTTTAAGTCAATATTCCTTTTTATTTATAAACAGTGAAATGTACATCTTCCGGTTGGGATCATCGAGTACTTCATTAACGGGTGTGTCTCTGGTAGGAATCGAACCTCCATTCTCTTTTTTTTTATTTGAGAAATCATGAGAAAGATAGAAAAACACAAAAGAGAATACACAACGATACAAATTTTAAAAATGAAAGAGAAAATGCTAAAAAGAAGATAAAAAACAAGATACAGAATGAATGAAAGAAAAAGAAAGAAAGGAAAAAAGAAAGAAAGGAAAAAAGAAAGAAAGAAAAAAGAAAGAAAGGAAAAAAGAAAGAAAGAAATTCGTAGAGTTACAAATTTTTTATAAAAATTAAACAAAATTAAAATTTGATGAAAGAAAGAAACAAGAAAAACAAGGTAATATAAATTTTTAGAAAAGAAAAGAGACGCAAAAGAAGAAAGAGAAAGAAAGAAGAAATAAGAAAACATGTTGATACTAATTTTAAAAACAAAGAGAAAAAAATTGTAAGAAAGAAGACAGAAAATAAAGAAAATATGCCAATATGCAAACAAAAGAAAGAAAACAATTATAAAAACGTACAAAGATAAAAGTAAAAGACAATTGTTGAAAATGAAAGAAAGAAAACAGGATTATAGAAATCTTTAAACAAAACATGAAATATTACAAAAAAAGGAAGATGAGAAAAAGAGAAAGAAAGAGAACAAAAGCACAAAATTAAAGAAAGAAACAAGGAAAACACGATTAGAGAAATTTGAAAAAAGAAAGAAAGAAGACTTACGAAGAAAGAATGAATGAAAAAGATACAAATTGAAAGAAAGTAAGAAAGGAAAAAGCCAACACCACGATAAAAATTGAGAAAAAAAAAGAAAAGAATTAGAAAAAAGAAAAAATGTAAATAGAAGAACAAAAATGCAAAAGAAAGATATTCAAATTAAAAGAAAGAAAGGACGAAAGAAAACAATAAAGAAAGAAAGAAAGATTGCAAAACACGACGATACAAATCTTTTGAAAATGAAGAAAAATTTAAAAAAAAAAGAATGAGAGAGGGGGAGAGAGAGGGAAAGAGAGAGGAAGAGGGAGGGAGAGAGAGATACAAATTGAAAGAAAGAAAGAAAAACATGGCAATAAGAATTTTGATATGAAAGAAAAAAATAAAAAAAGATAAAAGAACGAGATATACAAATTGAAAAAAAGTAAAAAAAAGTGACAAGCCAAAAATTCACGATGATACAAGTTTTAAAAAAGAAAGAAAACTATACAAAACGAAAGATGAAAAAGAGAGAAACGCAAATTGATAGAAAGAAAGAAAGAAAGAAAGAAAGAAAGAAAGAAAGAAAGAAAGAAGAAAGCAAAATAGAGATAGACGCAAATTGAGAGAATGAATGAAAGAAAGATGCAAAAAAAAATAGTGAGACACAAATTGATATAAAGAAAGAAACAAAGATGAAAAAAAAATTAGAGAAATGCAAAGAAAGGACAGAATCCTTAAAGTGTGTAAACATGAAAGAAAGGAAAGCAAAAAGAAGAAAAAAAAAAAAAAGGAAAGTAAAGAAAAGAAAGAAATCCGCCCCCAAATAAATAATTAAACAAACCACAAGATGCAAGCCAGCAGCAGCACACACGCATGCGCGCGCGCCTGCGCACTCTCGCATTCCCCCGACTCATTCCTCTACGTAAACACAGCGCGGATCAACAAGACGAATTCCCTTGCTCCCCAGATTTTTTTTTATATATATTTTTACTCCTTCTCAGCATTAATACACTTCTCCTTTCACCCGCCTTTTAAGTCTTATGAGTAACAGGCGAAGGAGAAAAGTGTTATTCCTATCCTCTCGCCGCTTCTAGTCAACTACGTCACAGTTTAACACCACCGCCTCCGACCTCCTGCATTTCGAGCGTTTCTCTATCGTGCTTTCTATTTATATAATTGTAAAGAGTTGGTTCGAGTTAAATCAAGTCCCGTCGTCGAACGGGACGGGTCGTTTCCTTCTCCGTTTCTTTCCCCCCTACTTCTGATATATTTGATTACTACAAGACAAGAAATAATGGGGGGTTAAACAGCCCCCCTGCTTACTGTAATAATAATAATAATAGCCCCGAAATAGCAAAAGAAAACACAGTACTCGAAAAAACAAAAACTAAAAAAAACAAAAAAACAAACAAAAAACGAAAGTACATCCAACTCGTAAACTATCTAAATATTCGGAATACCAGTTTAATTATCCCTCCTTGATTGCTGTGCGTGTTTTTGTTGTTTATTTGTTGTAGAAAGCCAGAATATCCCAAAGGAAATACCTTAACCTACCTTGGGGAAATCTCGTGTATCTCTTATCAAACACATGGTCGCGCGAGTAAGGAAATAAGAGAGTGAAACGCTATTTAAAACTTTGTTCAACAAAAATCCAAATTGAAAAAAAGAAAAAAAAAAGAAGATAATATAACCTTATTTTTTTTATTCTTTTTAAGAAAAGAAGAACTATTTTTTGAAAAGAAATATTTCCGTTGAATTAACGGTTTGAAAACTAGCAGTTTATGTGGATTTTGCAAGTAAACAGTTTTCAAATTACGAAACATTTATTTTTTTTTTTTAAATAGGACTTTTTCAGGGTTTGGGATATTTAAAAAAAAAATAGCCGGACTTTTCTCTGATTTTTTTTTTCACTGAATACAGAAAAAAATTCAAAGAAAAAAACAAGAATATTTGATAAATAAAAAAAGGAAGTAACAATAATGGAAATCGGATATTTGCCGTCAACAGAACAAAATAAGTAAGCAAAAATTCGTTATACGGACGACGCAAGGCGAAAATCCAATAAACGACGCGAAATCGCTATACAACGAAGAAAGTTTACAGTGGAAACGTAAATCTGTCTGTCTATCTATCTATCTATCTATCTATCTATCCATGTGCCACTGAGAAATAACGCGCTGTTGATATTGTTTTTGGTTGTATTCTAACACGAACGGAACAAACATTTTTTTCGGGTTTAAACGAAGAGAAAGAAGAAAAAAAAAGGTCAAATAACAATTCTTTTAAACATAATCAAATAACATCTGAAGAAAAAAAATAAAGAAGAAAAAAAGTACATCAATAAGAAAAAAATCAAATATATGGAATAATATTTTCTGCTTACAAAAAAGTTTTTTCTTACGGCTGAATAACGACCAGCAAAAGAAACAAAGGTCGCGATATTTTTCATAAATTCACAACGAACAGTCGACGAGAAAAGGCGTAGAGAACGAAAAGAATATTTTTAAAGTTTATTTAAAATAAGAAGAGAGAAAAAAAAAGTGCAAAATAATTCGACATTTAACAGTAAACACATTCAACAAAAGAGAAGATCCTAATTTTGTTTGTTGAAAACCCTGCACTCGTCACTGTCCCTCAGGGCCGACCGAGAAAGTTAGCATGTCCCTCCAAAGATAGGTGGGTGAAAAGAATTTAATAAATAGTTTAATAAATAAAAAGGGAAAATAGAATAAAAAAAAAAAAAACAAAACAAAAAAATACACACACACACACAAAAAAAAAACAAACATATATATGAAAATAATTTTCCAATTGGATTAAATCCAGGATTTTAAAAAGATATAATTAAAAAAAAAATGTTTCATTTTTGGGATCACCGTAGACGGTAAAGTGAATTTTCTATTTTACTTATATTTTTTTATTTTTTTTTATTACACTTTGTTTATTTATAGGTTGTTTTCGGATTGTTGCATAATTTTACTGGAGATTAGACGTAATCTTTTTTCTCTTCAAATTAGCAACGTTAAAAGCGTGAAGTGTATTTGTTTACATTTCTTTTTGGGATTTTATTATTATTATTATATTATTTGACGCTTTCTCCTTTCGTTTTACCTTTTTCGGTTCGCAAGTCCTTTTCTCCAATTCTATTTTTTACGCAACCGCATTTCTCAGAAGCGGCACACTAAACGCATTTCTCCAACAAAAAAAAAACAAAACTTATTGCGTTTACCTGTAAAGTAAAAACTAAAAAAGCAAAAGGACAACTGGTTTGTCGAAAGTCGTGCATGTAAAAACAAAACAAAAAAATCTGCAGCATACTTGTAAAATCAATATTGTTTAAAATACTTCATTTATTTCGTGGTCACGTTTTTTTCTTTCTGCTACTACGTTGATAATCAGCGGATTTTTTTTTTCAATTCTATTCAGCTATTTAATTAAAAAAAAAGGTTGAGTTCAGAAATCCTATTTTAAAGAATTGTTTATAGTACACACACACGCACATCAGAAAGAATAAAGATGCTTTTAATATTTTAAAAGAAACAGACAAATATCAAATTAATATTTGATGGGAAAAAAAAACTTCGTAAAATTCGTAATGAATTGTTTTGAAAGAAAATTCCAAATTTAAGAACGATTTCTTTTTCCGTGTAATTAGTTAGTATTTTTTTCACATATATGCAAAAAAACAAAAAACAAAACTGAATTTAATATTATGGGAACGTAAGAATAAGATTAAAAACAAAGACGTAACGTTAATTTAAAATAACGTCATCAATCAGCGATTTGTTTTCGTTTTTTTTCTCCTTGCGCAACAGACCCGACCTCAAACAAACCCCTGTCGTACCAAAACCAAACATTAACGAGGCGTCGGTCTTCAACTTGCGGGAAATACGGCTGTCGGTAGGTGACGTGACGATATAAGACCCCGAAGGAGACTTTTGTAAAGAAAAAGCAGACAGCCTTTTTTGTCACGTACAAAATATTCCCATCCAGCCAGATTTAAGCCGGTAGATTCTCTCACACTCTCTCTCTCTCTCCTCACCCCCCACTTAATTCATATCTCTCTACTTCCTTCCTGGTTCTCTCCTCCTCCCTTTACCCGCACACTATTTTTCTTATTGTCCGTCACTTCGCCTTCGTAGTAATTTTTATTTTTTGCTACTTCTCCGCTCATTTCGCCGATATATCAGGTGCGTGAGCGTCGTTCGCAACCTTGGGTGGGGTGGGCTGGGCTGGGTCGACCAGATGCACTGGCGCTAATAAATGTAGATCTCCACCGACAAGAGCTTATTCAGACGCTGCAAGCCGACAGACACATTTGGAGTGACCGCTCTCCTTCAGCTAGCTCACAATGGGATTAACGAATTTGTACACGTGCTGTAAATATAAACTGTTCACCATGCACTCTTTGACACCTACCTGATAATTTGAGGGGGTTAGACGGATCACTGCCCCCAACAACAACAACAAAAAAACAAAAACAAAACAAACAAAGAAAAACGTAAATATTATCGATTCTCCTAATCGATAATATGAAATTTTAGGAATAAATATCGATTATTTTTACACACAAATTTACAGAGATTTTTTTGCAAGTGAGTATATATTTTCTGTCAGAAAAATCTACTCGTACCTTAATTAAATTATTTTTCTTTGATTACCTGAAGACAAACTCTACCATTAATATACATTGTTAACTAACTGCATTTACATTCATTCGTTCTTATATATCCTATGTCAATTATTTAATATTCTCATATTGTCATCGAAGCTTACAGCGCAGTTGTACGCAATCATTAAAATCCTTTTCGAACTTATTTACGTATATACATAAAAATTTGAATTATTTAATATTTAATAAAGAAACACACATATATATTTTATAATTTAATGACGTTTCATATATAAAAAATGTATACTATATTTTATCTCTAACATTGATAAAAAAAAGTCATCACTGCCTACAGATATAGTTTATTCAATTAAGTATATTTTATATACAGATCTATATTATAGATAGATACACACGTGAATATTTATTCGTGAATATATTTCGGAGTGTGATTTCTGTTTCATATCATAAGAAGTGATTTTTATACGAAAATACAAGCGTGTATCAACAGGTTTTGAATACACTCAAAATTTTTTCCCACTTATCCTTTTTATATACAAGTTTTAAAAGTTTGTTGGCTCCGTTTTTTATTAAAAAGGAACTAAAGCCTTCGACCTCTTTATTTTGTTCGGCATTTTATATAAACACGCAACCATCTGTGCATTTGTGACTATTTCTGTTACATGCCACAAGAATTGATTTTTTTTATATCAAAGTTAAAGCGTGTATGGACTGATTTTAAATACATTTAACAATTTAAAAAAATACAATTTTCAAAAAGGTGTTGTGGATTGGTTTGCAGAGTTAGATTCGACCTTGTCTTTGGTATTATCTATCTATCTATCTATCTATCTATCTATATATATATATATATATATATATATATATATATATATATGTATATATATATAAACGTAGACGTTGTTAAAGGTTTGTGATTAGGTTGATAGTTTGGAAGAATACTACTACGTTAGGGAGTTTGATTCTTACCGCGTGCTGCAAAATTTTTTACCCTCTGTTAAATTTGATAAATATAAACTAAATTATTTTGGAGATTGAGCCATAATTTTTTAGATTTCATCTATCATTTAAATTCATTTTTATCTGATCACAAACTCGAAAGCGAAAAAAAAAAAAAATAAACAAACTACCTGTGACCGTGGTATATAAAAGAAAAAAAAATTATTTGAGAAAAGATATTGCATTTCTTTACCGATTTCGTCATGGCGACCAATGCAAAATTAATGAAAGAAATTAATGAGCAATTTCTTATTTGCAAAATCTGCTACGAACCTTATAAAAACCCGAAGACGCTGACTTGTCTACACACATTTTGTAGCAACTGTCTTCAAAAACACATCGACTCCGAACAGGAGCGCTCGACTCGCTATTCTTTGTACGGACGATACCTCTACTGCCCAATATGCCGCAAGAAAACCGAGATCCCTACGGGAGGAATACGCCGTCTGCTGGACAACTTCCTCGTCTCGAACCTCACCGACGTCGTCAACCGACTAAAGACATCCAAGATACCCCCCTGCGAGATTTGCCACATGGTGCGAACACGAAGCAATGAGGCGTGCAGCAAATGTCTCGAGTGTTCGAAGGTGTTGTGCAAGTCGTGCGTCAAGCTACACATGAACACGAAAGTGACCCAGAACCATAGCCTTTTCGATTTAGAGGGAGAAAAAGATATCGAATGCAAGAGTCACGCGGGGGAGATCGTAAGATTTTACTGCGAGCCGTGTGATGAATGCATTTGCGTTGTGTGTACGTTTCAAGAACACAGGGACCATGAAATTTGTTCGTTCAGCGAAGGCTCGGCCAAGTATAAATCATCGATCGAGTCATTAGTGAACCAGTGTAAAGAGAGGCTGATGAACTTGCGTGTGCGTCTAGGAATGATCGGGAAATGCGAATCGGCTCTTAAGGAAACCAGGGAACGAATCCGTGACCTGGCCATTAGCTACATCGCCCAGGTACGTCAGACAGAGAAACAACTTTTACAAAGGGTCGACGCCATGTTTGGCGATGACATTCTCGACTTTCTCGATAACAAGTCGTGGCTGCAAGAGAACTTTGATAATCTGCAGAACACCTGCAACCTGGCCGAAATCGTCATGAAGGACAAAGGGGTCGAGATTTTGCTCTTGAAGAAAGAACTCCAAAATAAACTCGGTTTTCTCTTGGAGCCGGATCTACCAAAAGTCCCCGATCATCTGGCTACGAACATCAAATTTATCCCGGGCTTCGTTAAACTCGGTCACCTGTCTGTGACCAGCGGTGAAGATGATAGCGGGGAAACGTCTACCAATAGCAAAGATCTATTTACGATGTCTCAGAACTCATCGAATAATCGACAGTTATGTACAGTCTATAAAAACTCGCATTCCCAGACAGATTTTATCAGTTTTTCAGAAAACTCGACCACAATGAATGCACACGTAAATGTGGAATCAGCAGCTGCGCAAACAGCAAAGGTAGAGACAGTTAGTCGGCTGACGGGTACTGATACCCGGCACACGCGGGATAAGTCAACAGAAATACAGCGCATTGATCCCAAAACACGCGGCACGATGACAGAATACCCGGACAGTCGATTGCAAAACCCGTATAACGATCGCTTACAAGTCTCATCAAAAACGTTTAATCCACTTGTACCCCTGTCTACAAAGTCGACCGAAACGGAGTTAAAATTTCTTCCGAAGGACGAATTCAGTGTGGAGGACATCAGCCTGTTGCAGCGAGTGAAAACTTACGGTTTTGAGGTGAGGTCGGCACCGAAGCCGACAACTCGCAGTCGCAAAGTCCAGACGGACGATACACCGCCCACGCCGCCGCCCACCCCGAAAACGATTACGATAAACACGATATCGACCAACACCCCTCTTCCTCTTCCAATGCCTATCATGCGGACTACTGCTCATGAAACAAAATCCGGATCGAGCAGTCCCGTTATTGACCGGCGTGCGCGGAGACTGAGTGGTGATATAGTGGCCATCCGGCAGAGGTTCGGGGATTCGAAACCCCTCAGGCGACAGGAAAGCTTAAAAGAAACCCCCTCGTCCGATTCCTCCGAATCTACACCCAGTTCCTCTTCTCCAGGCAGCCCAGCAGTTTCTCTCGTTAGCAACGGAACAGCTGTCTCGGTCCAGAACGGCCCCTTACTGCAGCGGCCGCAGCGAATATCAATCAAGCATGCTCATGTACAAACGTCGCAGGTCGAGATGGTTAGCTCGTGTACAGGGCCGGATAAAACAGCTTACTGTAATAGTACAACATTGACCGACCGTGTGCTGTTACAAGATGCCGTCACCGACACCGAATCCCTGACAATAGCGTCGCAGTCGGACGGTGCGAGTCACACATCTATGGAAGGTGAGAGCGTTACGCCGGTTCAAGAGGTCCCGAACAGGCGACAACAGGTTATTCACCGGGGATCGTCACCGGTCTTTACTTTTGACCCTTTAAGTTTACCGTGCACAACTAGAGTTGTCCTTTCTGAGCCGTCAGATAAGCCGATTGTCGTGCTAGCAGATGCCTATACGGAAACAGAAACACAACAGACGAGGGACTCTGAGACACTGACCGCTATTCTGTCGACGGTGGAAAACTGGACACTGACAAATCAGACAGAGTGCGTCAACAGCGGTACGTCGCCCGTGATGACTCCTACCAGAGAGGTTGGCATTTCCACTTTGAACCCTGTTCTTGTTCACCAGGGAATGGCAACCACTCAGGTGGAGTGCGTCGACTCCGAAACGGAGACTTGCCTGTTTATGCAAGACAACGAAACGCTGACGGACAAGGTGCAGTCGACAGATGCGCAGACAAACATTCAGGTGCACCGACAGGACGGCATTACCTGGGTGGATTGCAGCGAAAATCTCGAACCTGGTACTCGGACAGAGACCGCGACGGGAACGAGTACTGACGACCAGAATGCGTCAGAGGATGAAGGTCGGAAAGAGAGCGGAGATTCAGAGGAAGACGTATTTTTTGAGATCCGTGATGACGATGATGATGATGATGATAATTCTCCGATGACGAATTCTTTAGCAACGGGAAGCTCGCAACAAAGACAGCATAATCATCAGCAACAACATCAACAGCAGCAACAGCAGCAACAGCAGCAAGATCAGCAGAAGCAGTCCGGTAACGGAAAAAGTACAATGACCCTACCTGACGCAGTCGAGAGTCATAATACAAGCGTGTGCAACATGTGCTCCCTTCATAAACCGAGGCAAATCCACCGGGCTACTATGTCGTCGCCGACTCCAACCCACGACCAGGGAACCATGGTCCTGTCTTTCAGCACTTCTTCTATGGAGTTTATCGACCGAGGCGCTCAGACCACCCAAGCAGTAACGGCAGACAAGTCGATCGAAGCCGTTTTCAGCGAGCCTCCGCCAGGCAGTCCACCCCTGGCTTCGCCGGACTACAACGATGCAGCGACTTCGACCGAATCTCTACCATACATGGGTCTTCTGAGCGAGGTCGACCTTAATGAACTCTATCTGATGCCTGACTCGGCGTTCGAGCTGCACTCTGACACCGACACGGCCAACTCTGAGTGTGATTCCGATATGGAAACCGAAATGGTCGATCAGGAGACGTGGATGGAGAATTGCCAGAACGTCGAGGTGGGTACGCAGACAGCAAATTTTGTATCACTTATTTCCTCTAACCCGGAGCAGTCCGTATCGGAGATTACGTCTGAGATGTTAGACGACGGCTCGAAGGACTTAGTCAGCATCGGAGTGAACACTATGCCGAAAGTTACTTACGAGAAGGAGACTAGCACTCAGTCACGATACCTTTTCTCTAAAGGCACCATGACTTTCTATATCAACAAATCGGACAAGTCAACGTCTACACTTTCAGGTTCAAACCGCTCGTCCATCGTATCGCGAAACAGTCTCGTGGTCGACCGGTGCGACAAAGACACGATGACAAGTGGTTGTGGGGTTATGGACAAGGCGGTCAGCACAGATTTTACGCAGCTTAATGAGCAGGTGGCTAACTGCATTACCAAACTGAGAAATGTACACGATCGTCTCCAGAGCCCCACTACAAAACAGGCGCCCGAAACGGAACTTTCTCCGAAATCGTCGCTTGCGCGGAAAAACAAGCCGAAGATGGACGAACTGCTCGGCGCACCGACAACGCCAATTACATCGACGTCGAATGTCATGACGTCATCTGTACCTCCAATGTCGTACGCCCTGACATCGTCGACACCCGCCGCGGCGACATCGACTACTACGGCGTCGATAAACATTTTGGTGGAAGACGGGGTGATGCGGCCTGTGTCCGCATTTGATAGCATCTACCCCGGCGGTGGCGACGTCCTCTCGACACCTTCGATAACGTTGACAATGTCAACAGCTACACCGACGCTTATGACGTCAACCTCAATGTCTCAGTCGATGTCCCTGCTGCCACCGCAGGTTATGGCTACTGAATTGCGTCCGGCCCGGGACAGGGTGACGGTACGTAAAGCTCAGCCCATAACGACCCTTAAATGCCGCTACAAAGATATGAACGTTGCTAAGAGTCAAAGTTTACCTCGTCAGTTTATGTCTCCTACAAGTGATCTTAATTATCAACAACAGCGACAGCAGTTGTTGCAAATGCAGCAGCAACAAGCTGGGATTCGGTTTGGAAGTCAAATGGCGTCTCCACCAAGTCGACTTCCATTATTAAGGTATAATTCTGCTCCTGGCCGCATTGTAACAGTTCCGAAACAGTCAACCCCTAAAGATTTTACGGTATCGTCGGCCCAGACGTCTCCAACAACTAACAGTAAAATTCCAACAACCCGGAAAGCATGCGAATCACAAAAAGAGACAATGAAGGACTATTACACGATCACAAACGGTAAAGCAAAAAATCAACTCCCCTCATTGCCAGAAATCACTGAAACTCGAACCCCGTCCCTCTGTTCCGATTCATCTGGTGCTTCTAGCACGTCGTGGAAATCGTCATCAGTTTCTGGGCCGGCGTCTACGTCGGCGACCTCCATGTTGACGTGGACGTCGACACCGACATCGGAATCAGAGTCGCCAGCATCGTTAGCGTCTTCGCCGTCGTCATCGTCAGCGGTGAACTTCCCGACATCGCCGACGTCGTCGCACGGTATTTCAGCCGCAGTTGACCCTCTGAACGCTTCGTCCGAAGAGCAAGTCCCGAGGAAAGACTACCTATCGCCGACGTCGGCTGTGTCCTCTTTAGTGATGGCCGTCTCGACGCCGGTGCCGGAGTCCAGGGAATCATCACCGCAAACGCGAAAAGGTGGCTTTATGCAACGGCTGTTATCTAGAAAACCCAAAAAGGACACTGACTCGAGCAAGCAACAGTCCTCGAGATTATCCACGCATTCCGTTTCCTCGACGTCATCAGCTTCTTCAGCGCTGTCGACTTCCGCGTCGCGAAAATCTACCTCTCCTAAATCCCCGGGAAAAACAGGCAAGTCGAAGACAATGACGGCACCACCATCTCCAGCGCCGTCATCATCGTCGGCCTCACCATCCCCTAAACCAATGAAAGGGCGGGGTTCTTCAAAGTCTTCATCCCCAGACCCAGACTCCGCGACGGAGAAGACGGCAAAACCAAAGAAGAACCATCCGTTCGTCTATGTGCGACAACGGATATTCGCTATCCAGCATGATGGCGAGGAGGAAGCTAACAGGAAGTCGCGGACACATGACCGGAACCAAAAGAAAGTTGACAAAAAATCTGAAAAGGTCAAAGGGTCCCCGTCTCCATCGGCTGTTAGCAGTAGTAGCAGCAAAGGAAGGAGAATGATGACACCACCCAAACAAAACCCCACAGATATCAAAAAAGAGAAGACACCACCGCGGTCAGCAATTCCGGTACCAGAGGGTCAGTCATTTGCTGATGTTTGTTAAGATTTTTTTTTATTACACTTTTGTCATTTATATTTAAAAATCCGAGATCTCTTCTATTTTTTTTTTACTTTAAAAGACGTGTTATACGAAAGCTACTGATTGCTGATGTGCATATATATATATATATATATATATATATATATATATATATATATATATATATATATATACGGAAACATATTTTCGTATCTTACACATCAGTAGTCAAAGCTCACTCCATTTCGGTAAACATTGTTATAAAATGCCACAGGGGTGGCGATGACAAGTTATGTCACTGCAGAAAATACCACGCGATACTGTCATATGACAAAATATGAGCTACAACTGACATATAGCTCATCGGTCTCATGCGACAATCGATATAATCTTCCATTGTCACATGATCAACAGGAACTACAGGTGTGATAGGTTAACCCATGAAAGTTTCAATGGACCAACAAATAGTTCGTGACGGAGGGTTGACAACCACGCAAGAAAAGCTCATGTGACAAAGGATTCTCATTCGCTGTCGTTTGTCACATGACTGAAGTACAATTTGTCAGATGACGAATATTCTTAAGGCGAAAATGTTTCGAAACAAATGATCAGATTTCAGCGAACAGTCACCACACCAGAATTTAGTGTTCAGTCAGCTGTTGTCACATGTCAAGCATTTTTAATAGCAGTAAACGGTATATATTTTTCCTTTTAATCTAGCAATATATATATATATATATATATATATATATATATATATATATATATATATATATATATATATAGTTTTAAGGTGTGCTATATTTATGGGATAAAGTGGTCAATATCAGAGATAGAGCGTATGTAAATATAAATATAAACGTGAACATTAAAGTCAACACTCAGAGGCGACAGGCTGTTTCAAGCTGGACGCAATCGTCAGGCCGGCCTGACCATTGCGTCGAGCATGAAGCAGCCTGTCGCCCTGAGTGTTGACTTCAATGTTCACTTTTCGAATTATAAGGCATCTTGTTATCTTTCTCAACGATATAGATTTTAATAAGATCCAATTTAAATTGTATATATATATATATATATATATATATATATATATATATATATATATATATATATGTGTGTGTGTGTGTGTATTTATGAAGCATATCTTCAATAAAAAATGTTTTATTGAATAATATGGACATATGGTGTCTATTTATTTTTATACTGATCCTTTTCAGTTCTCTAATCAGGTTATTGATGTTAGGATGAAATTCACCAAAGAAGGCCCCGTAGTTTTTAACTAACCCAAGTACTTTCGATCTTTTCAAAGATCATCCTCAGGGGTAAATTACAAAGACAAACTTATTGTAACTGCGATAAAATCTGTGTTCCGTTGTGATGGGGATTAAAAAAGAAAGGAGATAATCTTAATAGACACAATGTCTATATTATTCAGTGAAGCATATATATATATATATATATATATATATATATATATATATATATATATATATATACTATTATCGTATGTATATATATATATATATATATATATATATATATATATATATATATATATATATATATATCTGAAAATATACCGGAAAGAATTATATATGAGAAGAATAGGAAAAGCTAAATGCTATGTAGGGGGGTTTGTTGTTGTTTTTTTATTTAGAGAAAGTCTAAACAAATTTTTCTAGGGCATATAACGAGGAAAGATTGCTTGGAAAACTTGACACTCAGAGGGCAGATTGAAGGCAAGAGAAACAAAAGAAAACTATGCATAACCTACCTAGCGAGTTTGTGTGAATGGATGGCAGAAGAGGGTTTAGGAGCGATAACAAAAAGGCAACATCTGCTAAGAGTTAAAAAGGAGAGGAACTTGTGGAGAGCCATGATCGCCGACGACCCGAAGAAAATAAAATTCAGGAGCACCGGTTTTCTGTTTTTACAGCTATCACTTGATTGTTAGCCATTCGTATTACAGTGTACAAGAAGTTAGAAATCAACGAAAGGTGCGTTTATCTAAACAATTATTTGGGGAACTGTACCAAGTTGTTTTACTTTTAATGTACAAAGAGTTCTCCCTACTTTGTGATCAATACACAAATTCAGCCGAGCAGGAACGCAGTAGAAGACACTATCGCAGACTTCTATAGCAATTTCCTCAAACGTCGCAGCGATTTGAGCTATCAATTTATAAATGGTAGGAGGCTTTCCCTGATAATCAAGGGCTTTCATGAGTTCCCAAAGAAAGAAAGGGTTCTAGGGAGAATGGTGGCCACTAAATCGGACCGATCCACTTCTTGTGAAAGTTTTTTCTGAAGACAATGAATTAACTAAGATGATTAATAACCTGTACAAAGAACAGGGAATTTGTGGAGAGCTATGATCGCTTACGTCCTGAACGGATACAGGACATAGAAGAAAAAAAGACCTTCTAACATGACTTTCTAGAATCTGACCCCTACTTTTGATTACCCCTGTATAGCGTGTAATCTTGGTTGGCGTGACGTAATAAATTTGCCGAACAAACATTGTAATTAAAACGTGTATATATATATATATAATTTCGAAGATTGTTTCTATGACTATAGCGTTATTTATTGAGCAAATCTTTAACAGATTTCACCGAAACAGAAGGGAAGGGGGGATTATTATTATTATTATTATTATTATTATTATTTTTTTATTTTCTTTGATTTCTGGCGTTTACACATTTCTTTCCGGGTCCCGCCCAGGGACCTAAGGTTAGAAATGGCATCATGACACTTTCCACTGACAAAAAATTACATAGATAAAGCCCTTCGTAAAGTGTGGGCTGTACTTGTCAGAACAATTTTTTGTATCTCCTTGAGGCATGGACTTCCAGGAATCCCTTCAATTAGTCTACTGCAATCTTTTCCAACCAGTCCTAGGGCTCCAACTACAACAGGGATTGTTGATGTTCCCATATGCCACATTTTCTTTTATTATTATTATTATTATTATTATTATTATTAATATGTATGTGCGAATATGAAAGATAAAAAATTAAACGTAAACAACAAAACTTAAAAATAGTGATTTTCCAAGAGTAGCTTAGATGTGACATAAAACCGAATGTATGGGGTACCCAGTGAGGATGGAACTCACTACTCAGTGGTAATTGTTCTAGCAAGACAAGCAGTGTTAACATTACACCACTTTGAGGTGACTTCCTCCTACCCCCCCCCCGCCTCCAAAAAAAAGAAAATCGTGAGAAGAAACCAATGTCTTTTTTGCACATAACCGTTGTATAAGACGAGCTAGAAATTACTTTAAAATATTCCTCCGAGTTTTACGAAAATGATTGTTGGTTAGTGAAATTAATATTTATATCTCTTGGGGGTTTATCTTTGTTTCCTGAAAATAGGAAGAGACAGCGTCCTATACAAAAACATTTTTTTTTTCACTGAAAATTACAAGTTTTAAGGTTTTGGGATTTTTTTTCTCCCCCCAGAATTCCGTGGAGTTATTAAGATATTTGTTATGAGTGATAGTAGAGTATCCGAACAAAAGGGAAGATGAGACATAATGGGGAAAAAGCTATTAAACTGCGCGTTCACTTATTATAGTAGGCGTTTTTTTGGTTGGGTCGATAAAGAAAGTATAATTCTACGCACGAACTAACAGAGAGAGAGAGAGAGAAAGAGAGAGAGAGAGAGAGAGAGAAAGAGAAAGAGAAAAGAGAAAGCTAAATTTCAAATTTAGTAGCGTCAGTGCGGAAATAAAAACATCTAAAACATCAATTCTCTGGCCACAGCGTCTGTTAAGGAACCTTATTACTTCTTTTAATAACCACCCCCTTTCTTGCACACGGGTTTATCTCTAATTCCAACGAAGGTGCGCAGTTGAATAGATTTTTCACAGGCATTTGTTATGCATTTTCTACATTTTTCTTTTTTAACGAGGATTTATCAAAGATTTACATTTGTCTAATCTCCTTATCTTGGTTGTTATTGTCACCAGACAATTTTTCTTCTTTCTGAGAGGATTAAATTATCATTAATATACAGTGGTCTATATGAATATGTTTGTTAAAGTAACAAGATATATTTGTTGTTACATTTCGGTAAGTTTCTGAAGATTTCGAAAGTTATGTATCTGTCTATATTTCTGAGATGAGGTAATATGTACACTATTTACATTATTCCGACTATTGTTTTCATCTTTGTCGCCATATTTATTACAAAGTTTCGGACGTTATACGCCCCGGCCTTTTTCAGTATCTGTCTATATATCTGAGATGAGGTATTACGTACACTATTTACATTATTCGGACTATTGTCCTCATCGCCGAAACGTTGTAATAAATATGGCGACAAAGATAATGACAATAGTCCAAATAATGTAAATAGTGTCGCAAAGTTATATTCTTTATAATTTGATGACCATTCTCTATGACTCGTAAATTATTTGATTTGTGCTTCTTCCACTGAATCAGGGATTGAACTCACAACCAACATATAACCAACAATTTTATTCACAAGGTCATTGCCTACTAGGACAATAAAGTAGTGAAATTTTGATGCTTTAAACTTAATATTTGTTTTTTTCTCTAATAAGAGGCTACCATAGTGTATTCTTTTTTTTTTCGTGTGGATCGAATACGCACAAATACATATCGGTTGGTAATGACGGTGGTCAAATAATTAATAATTTATCTACAGATGCCTGTAAGCGATAAAATGCAAGTGATGAATGCAGGGATCAAATTAATTTGTGCCTGAATTTCTGGGTTGAGGATTTATCGTTATTAACATTATTTACACTCGTAATATTGTCCTCCGGATATGGATAGCGGCTAGGATTGAGGAATCGGAGAGCCGAGTTCGAATTCCAGTCGAATCCATTACATTCACTTATGTGCTAATACCCTTGAGAAAGGTATTAATCCTCTTCTTCTCCCTCCAGCTATGGGTAAATAGCAGGAAATACCGGGTTCTATACCCTTGGATGGTAACTGGTCTACCACAGAAAGAAATGCCAACCTACTGCTGGGGAAAAAAAAAAAAAACTGC